CCTGTCCTAGCAAACACAGCTTGCCAAGGGGACAGTGACAGGCTTACAGGTGTCAGTTTATATAATTCTAAGGAGATCACTTCTTTTTCGTTTTTTAAACTGGATTCAAGCTATCTCCGGCAAATATTCAGAGGACCACAGAGGTTGTTAGGAGAGGGGCAATATGTAGAAACTATATCTGTGCTGTTGGGCATAGGTAGGGGAGGGTACTTGAGCTCTGACAAACTGATTGTCCATACTGTTTAGGTTCAAGCATCACCGCTGGCCTGGTTTCAGCATGAGCCAGCTTGGAATCCCCAGAATGTTGCCCAGGCACAGTCTGAGCAGCAGAACTTGCAGGGCACCACTTGCAGCAGACAATTATGGTTCAAACTCTGCTAGATCTTGCTCTCTACCTTGTTCACCATGTCAACAGGCTCTGCGTCTTCAAAGCCACCCTTCATGCCCAAACATAGAGCATGAAATTTGTACCATGAAACATGTACCCTTACTTGCTCAGTATGAAAACATCCCTCTGATCAGCTGCAATGCTTTAGTACAGAAACATTGAACTAAAAACAAAAAACAAAGTGTGCATTAGGACCACAGTGATAGCACCTAAGACTCAGAACAGGCTCAGGGACCAGTGCTGTGCAAAACAAGCGTGATCACTTTGTGTCTCTGGGCCCTAGCATCAGTGCTCTACTTAGCACTACAGACATAGCTGAAGCCAGAGTAGCATAAGGCTGAAGAACATCTAAACAGAATTGTTAGTCTACAACTGGTGTTGTTCTTGGCACCTGATTTAATTGTTCAACAAGATGTTTAGGGTAGTAGACTGGTGTCATCATGCCCAAAATAGGAAAGACATATTAAGTACCCGGCTGTGAAAGACACTTCTTCATAATAACCTTTTAGTGGTCTGCCCTACTCTTGTATATGAAATTCTTAAACTTAATTAAGTGGGCTATTACTTGTCTAGCATAATGAAAACTTGAAAAGAATGGCTCCTGTACAGATACAATACTGCAAACAAAACAGAATAGAACAGAACAGCCTTTACATTCACAGCATTGTACCGTGGCATGTGGATGATCTCGGTTTCCCTGTCCCTACCCACAGCATGTGGTCTTCCCTTTTATTCAGCAGTACTCAAGTCATCCCAAGTAAAAACTTTGCTCCTAAGACTCAACAAAAGTACTCAGCATTGCTGTAATGCGTGGTTCGGCAACCACTGTTATGCTTCATTGACAGATGATCTTGTTGGCCTCTCCTATTTACTCCAGCTACTGGAGCTAGGGTCAGATTTTTAAATGCATTTAAGAATTGAATTCCTACTGAAATCAGTATAATTTAGGCACCAAAATATATTTACAAATCTTAACTTCATTTTTTCATCTCCCTCTGTAGAGGTTCATTTTTGTGTCAATCCTTACCTCTCCAAAAGGAAGAGTTACTCAATATCTTAAACTAGGGAGATCATGTTTTTAAAAAGAAACATTTAGTAGCAAAGATTGGATTTCAATTCTTGCAGTCATTGAAGCCAAAAATAGTTTTGTCAATAATATTGATAGCTGAAGGTCTTCAGGTTCTTAAAATCCCATCCCAGCCTTAAAACTTTTCCAGTTCAACAGATAATACAAAATATTTGCTCATTTATTTAATTTCTGACTACCCACTTCTTCATTCATCTTTTGTTTCCTTTCAGTATTAGTTGTCTTGTTTACGGCTCTCAAGAGACAGAGGAAGAAAGAACCCTTGATCATCTCAAAGGATGATGTTCGGGACAACATTGTGACCTACAATGATGAAGGAGGTGGGGAAGAAGACACACAGGCTTTTGACATTGGCACACTGAGAAATCCAGAAGCAAGGGAGGAAAGTAAGATGAGAAGAGATGTTATCCCAGAAACTATATTTCAGATAAGACGGACTGCACCTCTTTGGGAAAACATTGATGTCCAAGATTTTATTCACAGAAGATTAAAGGAAAATGATTTAGACCCAGCTGCCCCTCCTTATGACTCACTAGCAACATATGCCTATGAAGGAAATGATTCCATAGCAAATTCACTCAGCTCCCTGGAATCGCTTACCATGGAGGACAACCAAGACTATGATTACCTCAGTGACTGGGGACCTCGGTTTAAAAAACTAGCAGATATGTATGGTGGAGAGGACAGTGATCGAGACTGAGAAAGTAATCTGTGACCTGGTCAGTGTTAGTGGAATTCATGTCTATGTTACTAGATAAAGTGGCCTACTCTCTCTTACTTGGGAATAAAAAACTTACAAAAAATAGGTGTTGTCTTAGTAAGGGTTAGCTTAATCAATAAGTCAACGTGAATGAATATGAATGATTTAGATTTTAAAAAATCTATAATTCACCCTCTCTGCCTAGAAACCTCTGATGAAAGGTTTTCATTGACAATGTAAAGACAATAAAAGGCTTTTTGTGCCTTTAATAATGAGATGGAAACAATTTTTTTTAATTGCTTTGCATTACCTTTCCTACTAGCTGGGACAGTGTGCACCCGCATTGTAACATAATCTTAAAAATATACTTTAAAAAAGGTTAATATTACTGCCATATTTATTGAGTTAAAGAATGTCTGTGTCTTGATTCATCATGATATTTTTATATATGTATATTTATATTTTTGTATTTTTATTAA